AGCAATGATGAGACAGAATCATTGATCGGATATCTCCAGCATGCACCACACCAGAAACCGAGCCCACAACCTGGGCATGTGACATGACTGGGAATCAAACTGTGACCTCCTGATACATAGATCAATGCTCAACCACTGAGCCATGCCCGCTGGACTCACCTAATTCTTGAACTTGCAGATATAGGGTAACTTCTGGTTACAGTTATAATCTTTCCATTTCAGATATCCTGGAGAGAGGGAAGAGCTAAAGTGAGTAGAGCTGGTGGAGCTCAGGGCTCAAAGGAGAGACAACCCAGACTCTGGCCCAGGACTCAAAGCTCCGCCCTCATCGTCACCAGGGACCTTCTCCAGGGGAAGGAAACTCACAGAAAGGAGAGATGAGAGGAGATGGGAGAAGACAAACCAACACTGCATGTATCGGCTCAGGAGAGTTCCCTGAAGGTGAGGCCCAGAAACGGGGACGAGGGGATGGAAAGGTTGGCCAGAAGGTAGCTCTTCTCTTTCTTACCTGAGCTTTGGGACAGGCTCCCGCAGTAGCCCGGTTTTGAAATGGTGGCAGGATTTCTCTCCCAGGCACTGTAATCCATCACATCATTATTACTCCACTCCCATCCACCTGCATTGGGTTCATAGCCCTACGGAGTAGAGGATGGAGCCAGGTAAGGTTGAGTGGTCATTAGAATTCTTCATGCAGATCCCCTCAGGTGAACACCTGATCCCCCCTCAGGATAATGGAATTTGGTCTGCTATTCCATATGCTGTCACAGAGCTTTCTTCTTTCCTAATTCCTTGCTCCTATTGGTAAATTCAAAAGTCAATAACCATAAAGACCAATGGAACCACTCAGAGTAACATGTTACTGGCTGGACAACAATTAGCAGTGAATTTATCATTACACTCTGAACCTCAAAGGCAATGACTATCCCACAAGGAAAAATGCATCTCATCTTCATGTAGGATTCCTCACTGAAGCTCAGAGAACTGAATTACAGGGTGTCATGTCTGAATGGTATACAAATCTGGACAAGAGGCAGATTAACTTCAGCTGGAGACTACCGACCTTCACAGAACTCAGCTCTTCACCTGGCCTCCAGGTCCTCCCTTTCCCCCAAATGTCCCTGCAGATCTCTAAGCTCTGGAGTTCTCTGGGCAGACACAGGGTCAGGGAGTGGGCCTGAAGGGCCATAGCAGCTCAACAGATAACAGACAGGCAATGTCATCGCACCTGTGTGGGATCATGAATCCCAATCCAGACGTTTGGGCAGGTGTTCGAATTTCTCTTCACCAGAGAGGCCAAGAAGGATGCTTCAGCCCCACTGAGCACAGACACGAGGAATCCCGAGGGTCGCTTCTGGCAGGCAATCTGTGTGGGGAAGAGACAGACTGAGGAGGAGGTTGAGACGTCACTGGGGTAGGGCAGGGCTGAGGGGTAAGAAGAGGTGTGTGTGTAAAAGATGAGGGTGCTCATTCTCACTCCCAAAAAAGTCTGGAAAATGGAGACCATCCCCTCTCCCTCCAGTCTCTAATGTAATACTTCTACCTGTAAATGCACCTACTCACATCTGCGTCAGACCAGGATTTTGGTGTCATAAACAAAGCATAGCAGTAGAAGCGATGGTAATAGGAGCCTTCGGGACAATTGCTCGGTAGAGCTTCAAGTTCCTTCTTGGACTCTTCACCTGGGGAGGATGGAGGTAAGAGAGAGAAATGGAATGAAACAAAGTGTGGGAATGGGTGTTGGGACTGACTGTGGGAATATTTGTGAGCCAGTGCTGGGGGGAACGAACACCAAACTCTTGCCTACCTCTCATCGTTTCCAACACTTTCAGGATTTCTTGATCTTGAACTAGCTCCCTTATGCTCCCTTATTAAATGAAGAAGCATCCCTTTTTGTTCTACCCTCCCCCTTATTAAATGAAGCATCCCTTTTTGTTCTACCCTCCCCCTTTATTCCAAAGTCCAACACTTCCCCCACTCGGAGTTCACTGTTCTCACACCACCAACTCCAGTCATTCTCCTGCTTCTCTCACTACTGACCCTTCCTGCTTTCTCTCTTCATCCTGCCAAAGTCCCCTCACACAATGGAAACCATCTCATTCCACTGTTAATGGAGCGCCGTGGTGCCCCCCACCTTGAGTTACCCTGAAGGAAGGAGTGACGGTGGAGGAATGGCAGGCAGTTTCACTGCGTGAGGAGATACCTCACTATTGCCACTTGCATCACACAGGAGGCTTCCTCTACCTCTTGGCCCTGAGCGTTCACAGGGAACCCAGTGCTGGAGGCAGAGACATCTCACCTTGCACCTGCGATAGGAGCATCAGGCAGGAGAACAGGATCCAGGACACACTGGGCAGGGCCATGGGAGGCAGCATTGTACAATGTCTGTGACTTGAAGAAGCAATCAGAGATCGTTAAAGAAATGCGGTCAGAGAGAGGGCATGTAGGGATCCCTCTGTTCTCCCTCTTGTCTTTTCCTTTCACAACACTCCTTGGAATCAATTGATCTTGGTGACATCTATCCCCTTTTATGATCCTGGAAATAATTGGAGAATCTGTACACCCTCTTACCCCTAAGACTGATGTTCTTTGAAGACCAGAATCCTCCTATAGCCTTTCCCCAAATGTGTGAGGTAAACCCCTGCCATGGCTCTCACCTCCTCTCAGCTCCCACTTACCTGTTTGCAGGCAGCTGGATGGTTGGTCAGGTCAGAAAAGACTTGGCTTTTATAAGAGAGTCTGAGGGTGTGGCCTTGAATGAATAGCAGGCATGTGGACCAGGACAGGGATACCGGGAAAGGGCTTGGCATTGGTTCAAGGAGGTTTGTGCCATGGGAATAGACTATTTGGAGCAATGGCTGGGAATTGCCCCAGATATCACTTCTTTTCCGTTAGCAGGCCAGCACTCTCCTTAGGAACAGGTGCAGTTTGGACTTTATCATCCTGTGCCCGGTTTTCTTATTTTGAAAACTTCCTGGAATGAAGGTAGCCCTTGGCACAAATTCTGATGTTATGTGGTTTAGAAAATGTGGCATTGAATAGATAAGAAAAACGGTGATAGTGCATTTTTTAGCAAACTGCCAAGTACTGGCCCCTCTAGGCATAGGTATGAATATGTTTGATTTTTTTCCTGTATATATTTTTCCTTTTAACCTTGTATTTTAAGAATAAATAAAA